AAAACTGAGCAAGTTTTCCCTTGTGAAAGTATTTTGTTCTTCTTCTTACAGAAGTTATTGAATTAAACTATGTTTTAAAGGCGAACTATCAAAACTAATTAGTGAAATTCCAAGACTGGAGGCTTTTGATTTAACAAAATCAGTGTTAAAATTGGCTTATAATGAAATGGCATTATTTATGGAGATTTATCTTTTTGTAGCTCTGACATAACAAAACTGGCAGACATTTGTATTTCAGAAAGTGCTAGAAACGGTTCTAGTTGACCACATTATATCTGATTAGATAGTACTGACTTTTCTGTAAAGCAGTCTTTGAATCTGAATTGCCTGTTACAGAGTTTAATTTCTAAAATCAAGCGCATAGTTGAAGAACTTTTCAGTTTAATGTTTAAGAGGAATAAGTACTGAGTACTTTATTGGAATTTATTCTGTTCTAGATTTTGAGTCCATTCATAACTTTAACTGTTGAATATCTAGGTTGTCTTTTTTCCCTTACTACTTAACCATAGTCTGCTGAAGCTGCAGAGTATAAGTTTAAGAAGGCAAAACAGCTTATTATATCACCCTCACTGCTTTAGCCTCTTAACTGAGGCCTTTATCTTGGCCTTAATCCAACTTAAGTGAAAACTGAATTATTTAAAATAGCTAACCAGCAATTTTGTATCAACCTAACTGACTGCCAAAGACTTAATTCAGCTAACAAAGCAGAGGTTACATCCTCAGTTTGCAAACAATAAGTCCTTGGAAAGTTAATGTCTTCAAATCTCACAGTTAAATTTGAAAAAAGATACCAGACTCTGCCAGTGATGACTCCATAATAGGAGATAGAATTTAGAGTTGGAGAAGACTGAAAGAGTAAAAGAAAAGAAATTGACATATGAGAAATTGCTATAGCAAACAGTTTTGTGCTATCCTAATTCTATACAGATTCAGTGTCTTTATAGGCATGGCATATTTCTTTGGAGATACTACAGCCTCCTTCCCAGTTTAACTGATATGCTTTTAGCATAGTTTTAAAATTGATTTGGACAGCAGAAAATGAAGTAGAAATACGTGGGTTAGGAAATTAACAATTAATGATACTGAATGAATTGAGGTGACTTGGTTTTGCATTTTTTTATCTAAGAAGTACCACTATACTGTAAGCTGTTTCTCTTTGAATTCATCATTCATTTAAACAATTAGATTTTTGAAAACGTTTTTTGTTTCTAATTTAGGACTTGATAAAATTGAATTTCTTCAGAGGCATGAAAACCAAGAGATCTATCAAAAGGCTTTTGAACTTATAGAACATTATTTTGGTGTTGAAGAAGAGGACTCTAGTATTGCACCTCAGGTGGATGAAAGTCAGCAGCAGTTTGTATTTCAACAGCAGGAGGCTCCGATGGAGGGTTTCCAGCTCTGAACTACTGAAGTAGTTTATGCATAAAATTTAAACACTTGTACGGTGTGAGTTTGGTTTGCGTTTTTTTCTCAGAGGTCTTTTCTTCCTGGCCAAAGTTAGAGGAAAAGCTGAATATGTTTTGCAGAAATAGATGAAGAAGCAGCTCATGCACTTTCATATATTGTGTTAGAGACAACTGTTCTCTGTTTTGTATTTGTGTTTTTCATTATCTCCTATGTACAGAAAACAACTGTGAGTAATCATGTCTAAAAGCATTAAATGTGATTTAACAAGAACTGTTAAGCTAAGACTTGGTAGGATTTTAGGTAGTGGTTCTGAATTTTTCATGTAGTCTCAAACTTCATATCAGCAATACAGTTACTGACAGTTGCATTTTTGGCAGTAAGCTTGACTTGCCCAGTCTCTATCAAATCTACCTCTTGCATTGAAGCAGAAATATTGCTTCAAAACCAAGGCATGAAATAAAGAAGAGCTTGTAAGAAGCTGAATTGGAATGTGAAAAATATTTATTTAAATTGTGAAACTTTTATGCATTACTTACTTTACAACACACTGTTGAAGTTTATTTATAAAATGTATTTAAAGACATAATAGATATACATATATAATGCTAATTACCTGATATGATATTGAATATATGAAAAGGTTTTTTCTGAATTATGTGGGAAGAAGACTATTTCAGAAGTCTCCAAATTGGAATCAGCAGAGAGCTTGCTGGTCATTTGATGTTGGCTCTGTAATGAAAGCTGATAAATGGCATTACAAACCAGCCACAACTGCAGTACTTTGCAGTGGAAGCAGTTGCTGTAGTTACCACAAGAATGCTGCAATTATGAATGACAGAGATGGTGATTTGCACAAATCACCAAGCAGATGGTTTACAGCTGTCTTCTGTCAAAATGTGGTAACACCACTTTAGTTTGAGAAACATTGTTTGCCTTTCTAGTACAGTAGCTTTTTAAAAGTTTAGACAGTAGGTGTTGTTTTTTGACCAAATATGCTACCACCACTTGAATTGTTCCTTAAGTTAACGAATTCAGTTTTCTTTTGCTAAGACAATAGAAATACTGCAGTGAAGAATGAATAGTGAATCACTCCTTTCCAGTTGAAGGAAAAGTTTGTTGTACTGTAAATAGCATTAAGTATGTGGACACCAAAACTAACTAGAAGTTATTGTCATCTAAATATTTAGGCTCTACAATATACAGTGTTTGCTGTTAAACACTAAAAGAAATAGAATTCTAATATTTTATGTTAACAGTTTTGAATACAGAAAAATGTATGCTCTGCTTCGACTTGCATATAAATAGTGTTTCTGGTGTATTAGTAGTATATATCGTTTGGAGAAATCAATACTTTGGGTTATCTCTGAAGTATTGCTATTTTTTATTACCTGTAATTAATATATTAACATCAAATTCCTGGGTTAAGTGAAATCCTTGACATATGAGAGCATTTCATGCTTCAGAAAAAGCTGCAGTTTGAACTTCAAATCACTCACCCATGGCACTGTGCTTATCGCTAAACAATATTTTAGTGCACTGAAAAATACAGGTTAAAGGTGGTATCATTTACAGTACCATTTTATATTTAGAATTTTTTTTTTACATGCAATTTAAGATTCTAAGATGTTTCACTTTGATGTTACAGCAATATATTCTATATTGTAATTGAATGTGGGACTTGAAGTGGATTTTATAAGATTAATGGTCAGTTTTGACTAAGATGTAACTGGGAGGGAAGAAACCTCCCTTTGAAGTCTTTTTAGTGGAAGATAGAAGTGTAAGAAGTGTATATAGGAGTGCTGTTACTTTATGAACTGAATAATGAGATATTTTAGCAAATGACACTTTAAACCTAGATTTGTACAGCATACAACAGTTTTGAATAGTGTGATAATACTGAGTACAGCTGCCAAATTTTCATATAATGTTAATTGATTGTACTTATGCCCTTTTTACTCTGATAGTTTTAGGTTTTCATACACCAACCTTCCTTCTTTCACGTGCTCTCCCCTTCACCCCCCCATCTATCACAGTACAGGGTAACAATCATGAAAATCTACCAAGATTAGTAGCAAATGCTGAATTTCAATATTGTTCTAGTGTAAGAAAATTATTCAGGTAACAGGGTATTTCTTTGTTTCTAACAACCTTGTTTTGATAACAACCAGTTGTGCCTGCTTCTTATTTGAAGAACCCTGTAAAAACTACATTTATAAGCCTCTCTAATTTAAACCAAATCTGAGCTCTGAAAGTCTTGACTGAAAGACTTGAAAATGAAGAAAAGAGGGGACATTTAAAGTATCCTATTTGTTTTGAAGGAATGTGTTCAGTTGTGTGGATATATTATTCTATATGTGTGAACAGTTAGTGACTGCACTTTACACATTTAGATAAACTGTATTTCATGCCTCTGATACATTTAAATGGAACAGTTTAAAAGGGAACTAAAATCGGTGAACTTTGGGTAATGAAAACCATTATTTAAACTCAACATTTGGTTTACCCTAAAATTGTTAAAAAATAATGATGAAAATCCTTTAAAGGATAAATATACAGGATGGCCTCTCCTATTTTATCACTGGATTTACATCATACTTTGTTAAAAGCACATAAGTGAACAATATAAAATCAGAGATTATGACTTAAAGTCAGTTCTGTTGTACTCATTTGCAGGTAGGAGCATGATTATGATGATGTTGCCTTAACAGATGAAACCAATGTGCAGAGGAAAACAAAATAAAATGGTGATATGAAAGTCTCTTAAAGTTTGCTATCTAATACGGAATCTGAAGTCCTCCATCAGTTACAAAGTCTGTTTAAAAATAAAGGGTTTTGGTTTTATTAAAAGGGTACCTACCATCTGTTCTGTTTAAATGTGAATACTAACTAGGTAATCTATGCAACTATGCAGAGCATAAGATTTTTTTATTAGTTCCCTCCTCTTGTTACACTGAATCATATCTAATTATTTTGTCATTGCACTTTTGTCTAAGGACTGGTTCATACAGCTTTTTAATTTTCTAGTATTTGCTTTAAACACTGTTGCTAGCAGCAATCAGAAAATAGTGATAATGTTGGCACAGAAATGTTCGCTGTAGAACAAGTTTGCAACTGGAAACTATTTATTGTTAGACCTGTCTTTAAGAAAATAGTAAAGATGCACTATTGTCTTTCCTCTGTGGTTATTTCTCCGTTGGTTTAAATTTATTAAATTGTTGTACAACTGAGGATTGTTGTAATGGGTGTGAAAATGGATATATGAACTTCAACTGTGACCTTAAGAGTTCACTGAAATCCAAAATGAGAGATTTCAGTAACTTATGGCACAATGTCTTTATATAATGTGTGGAAACTACATAACCTATATTAACTTCAGATAACAATAGTGCATCTTTAAATCCAGGCCAAAGGCCCATTACTGTAACGGAACACATATGAGTAGTATGCAATATTAGGGAATGTTAAATCTCCAAATACCGTACAGAAACCAATAAAACCTATTTTACAGATGTTTATTGTATTTATTTAGTGGTTCAATAAGTTCTTCTTAAACTGGAAAAGCAAAAAGCATTTTGAATACAGCATTGATGCGAGTAAGTTCAAACTGGCTGATTTGTGTGCTGAAAAACTAGGCATTATCTAACCAAAGATGCCTGATATTGTTACAAAACTACCTCCTCTCCTTTAAAATGAATGACTGCTTTTAAGCATATGCAAAATATTCTAACTAATTTTAACTATATGCAACACATACACCAAATATCCCCCTAATAAAAGAGACCCTCCCTTTCTTTTTGTGATGCCCTAACTACCCTTACTGTGTGTGCATACTATTGTTGTCCATTTACGGGTGAAACTCACTAATCACTCTCAGCAACAGTTAATTTGGCTCCTAGAAGGGCATTTGGCGTTTCATATGAAGTTACTTTGCCTTTGACTCCGCGGCTAGCGCAGCCTCCTCCCGCCACTTGGCCTTCTTTGCCAAGTTCCAGCTTGTTAGGGACTCATGCCGTGCAGCAGCCTGTGGAAGTAAAACATCTTCTGAAGGGTAGGGTAGTAGGAGTAACAATGTACCCACGGCAAAGCTACCCAACCTCAGGAAGGGACAGCAACTACTTGTACAGTGTGGGCTGGCAGAGACCAGGTCAGCTAAAACTTGCTTAGGTGTAAACTGCTGCTCCTGGTTCAGGTTAGTCTACTTTTCACAGAATTCCATAATTTGAAAGTATGCTACATGGCCGTACTCACCTTTTTAGCTGAAGCAATCACTGCAAAGCAGGCAACAATTGAGAGTCCAATCATGATGTAACAAGCTTTCACTCGAGCTTTGTTTCTTGCCTTGTCTAGCATCTCTGGCCTGCAATTAAAGTTGTTGAATTGAATCATTACAAAACAGTAAAGTATCTGTTCTTCAAAGCATCACACACATAACATCACAACTGAAATAATAATTAGCTTCTGAAACAAGCATCTTCAGCTTGCTGTGGTTGGTTATGTACCACCCATTTTCTGACCCTAATCCATTTCCCATGGAAAAACAACATTTAATGGATTTAGGCTGATTTTTTTTTTTTTAAAGCTAAAAAAAGTACTCAGGCAATAAATATTTGCATTTAAATGAATACACCAGAAATCATATGTTAACCTCTGTTTAAACAAGGGAAAATTAAGGGGGTTAATCTGTTTTAAACAGATGAAGAAGTATATGTGGTGTCAACCTGATGGGATGAAAGCAAGTTGCTTTTATTCAAAATTAACTTTAGAAATCAATTAGTGTCATATCTAAGCTGTTTAACCGGTGTCCTGTAGGCTACAGACCTTAAATACATGGATTGGATTAAAGCAGAGTTTGTACTGCTACGAGTTAGAGGTTTTAGTTTTCTATTAAAGCAGCAGCCTCATAGAAAGCAGGCAGCTGATGTCAGTCACATCACTCTCACAGGAACAATCTACGTGATTACTTTTGCGGATCATCAAAGGCAGAAGTAGTGAGAACTTCTGCCCTCTGGCAGTAGTTGCTGCAAGAGAGGTGTATAGCCCACCAACCTGTGTTGGTGCAGCTCCCATTTCCACCTCAGAACCAGCAGTACAGGAAATCATGAAAATTGTCCCAAAACTTTCAGTCTTTTTTCCAAGTCAGACATGTACAGTTGCATGGGTGTAGAGTTTTTAAGATGTTCATAATAATAATGCTGGCTGTGCACCATTTTCCTTTCATAAATCATCATGGGTATGCTTTATATATAGATAGAGAAATAGATATATTTGTAAGATAAAGAATATAAATATATATGTATAAAACCACAACTATATATGTAAAAAGAAAAGTTTTACAAAGAACTGATTTTTTGATGTACGTGAAGATTGTGTAATAATGTCTTTCCAATGAAGCACCTTTAGCTTTACTTTAAAGAGTTAATGTGGTGGGATTGGGCAGAGCTGTGTTTTTACAGTGAAAGTTCTGCCCATGAAAGCCTGTACCAAGGCTGAGGGCTGCAGTGCTTCTCTCTAAGGTTTAACGCAATGGAATAGGGCAAATCCTCTGAATGGCAGTGCTGTACTAACCCCCCATCCCCCTTGCCAAGGCACACAGGAGCACACATGCACATTGTGTTTCTTGCAGGTGACTGACAGTGCCTGCAGTTCTAAGTAACTGCTTCTGGTTTGTACAATGGTAAAAATCATCTTCAAAACAGACCACACGTCAGACCTAGCACATAAAATTATTAATCCATTTGTAGCAACAAAAGCAAAAGCATAAATGTTATTAGGGTGGCGCATTAGCCTAATCATATTTCAGAATGCACTAATTGAAGCTCTTCTGAAGCAGATTTTCACTTCATCTGCTTTAAGGAAAACAGACCTTACAATTTTCTTCCCTAATTGCAAATTACGGCCTTTGCTACTCAATCCTTAATCAAGACTCGAGGTAAATCTCTGCTGGAGTCAGTGACAGCTGTTTTTTTTTTTAAACAAACAAACAAACAAAAAACCCCACTAAAACAAAAACATAACAACCTTGAATAAGGACTGCAGATTTGTTCTTTAGTACAAACTATCTTCAGCAGCTAGGTTGTGTTCACAGGAAGCAACATCTTGCAATTCTTTTTTCTTTTAAACAACAGTTAAACAGTGTCTAGCTACTTCTAGTATATACTTAGGATCTTACAGTTGCAAAAAGTCTTTGCTTACCCAGAAAGCACAAGGTGGTAACATGAATTTGCCAGGCCGGCTATGGCACAGAAATGAGTGATTTGTGTGTGTGTGTATGTGTATGGACTGGCAAATGCAATGTGTCTTTATAAACACCTACCAATGACTTTACTAGCATTTACAGCTTCTGAAACCTGTCTGAACCTTTCTCTAGGGGAAGATGGTGAGACTAACACAGTGCAAGAGAGGTTAGACTGTTCAGAAAGCCACTGTCCAGCTCAGCAAACAATAGTGAAACTGTCAGGAACCAACAGGAGCAGGCAGAGGACGTACCTGTGTTACACAGCTCTGCATGCTGCTTATGTCACCAAAGACAGGGATGTGCCATGATGATAAAAAGTAGTGTCCTGGAGAGAGATGCCTAACACGCTAACATCCTAAGAAAAGGCAGCAGTTGGTGTTGGAGGAGTTTCATGTGTTTAGTGGCTGACTCCCTTGGGGAATGCTAAATTTCAGCAAGTCAAAGAACCGCAGAGCCAGGTTTGGGTGGGAAGGAACCTTCAAAGGTCATCTAGTCCAGTGGGTCAATAAAAATGGGCAGTTAAGGCTATGTTAAGTACTCAGTTTTCCTTGGTGGGAAATGCTCCTCTTGAAATTTACTTCCATGTGTTTTCCTCAAATTCAATAATAATAAGAATGAGAATGAGAATAGATAATAATAACAATAATAATTACTTATGTAATTATTCAATAACAGCTCAGCTCTCAGAACTGTTTATGGGAGCTATAAACAGAAATTATTGTTTACCAATAACATCCTTCTCCAATTGCACATTAGGAATAAGCAAAACAAACAAGCCAGTACATAAATGTAACCAAGGCTGTCTACTCGGATCCAGTTCTTATCCCAGGCTCTGGGGACTCCAGAAAGGAACATTTTCTCATCTTAACCTCTAACCAGGACAGGAAATTCTCTTGCCCTCTAATTTGTTTCCAAGTTTTCAGCGCTGAAAAACCGACTGTTTTAAACTCTGTAGAAAAGCTGTAGATCAGAATCAAGGCCACTGCTTTACCTTCAGCTCCATGTTCCCCTCGGACAAGGGCAGTATACTTACGGGATTCTCAGAGGAATCTCTTCTTCTGTCTTGAAACGTCCAGTCCAGATGAGGATTTTTTTGTCAAACTTCGAAGGTTTGTAACTTGCGACCACCTTGTGAGCCTGCTCAGCTTAACGATTAAGAAAAAAACACTTCGTCAAACCGTGCACTAAGAGTCAATGATGTCTGCTAGTAACGGTGGAAGAGGAAAACCCTGACCGTCCCGGTCGTTGGAAGAGCAACCCAGGGATTAGACCTTCAGGTCTCGCCTACGCAGAGTGACCTCTGCGGGGTCTCTGGGGCACCCCCGCATGCAATGAGTGTTCCTGCGGGTCTGCTTCGACGCCCCGCCGCCCGCGGGGTACCCGAGCCAGCAGGAGAGCACTCGGGACCACCCGAGCTGCCGTGCCATCCGCGGGCCGCACCACCGGGAAGCTCTGCCCCGCTCAGCCCCGGCCCCGGACCGCCCGCACACCTCCTCGTCAGCCCCGGGGCGCTGCCGCGGAGCCGGTGCCCCGCAGCTCCGCTCCCCCCTTACCGCGGGCGGTGCCCGGGCTGCGGGCGGGCTCCCCGGCGGCGGCGGCTCCCCGCGGAGCGGGCGGGCGGAGCGGCGCGGCGGAGAGCAGCCGCCCGGGGCGGAGAAGAGCCGGCAGCATGGCCAGGGCGGCGAGGAGCGGCGGCACCCTCTGCCTCGACGGGACCCTCTGCCTCGACGGGAGTAGTCCGGTCCCGGTCCTGATCGCGATGCTGGCCCCGCCCGGCCCCGCCCCGCCCCGCGGACCCTTCCAGCCGCCTCGGGACGCGAGGCGAGGATGGATGGCCGCCTGCACGGCTGGGATCGGTCCTCCGGAGAAAGCATCCTGCTCACCTGCCTCGCTCACGGGCTGCAACTCCAGAGTGGAAAGGTCAGCCTTCAAGTCAAAATTTGGCTAAAGAAACAGCCACTGTAGTTCACCTTCGTGTCAGGACGTGGACCTGCTGGAGTGAGTCCAGAGAAGGGCCACAAAGATGACCAGAGGGCTGGAATACCTCTCCCATGAGGACAGGTAGAGAGAGCTGGGGTTGTTCAGCCTGGAGAAGTTCCCAGGAGACCTTAGAGTAGTCTTTCAGTAACTAAAGGGAGCCTACAAGAGAACTGGAGAGAGGCTTTGTACAAGGGCACATAGTGATTCCTATACCCCTTTTGCAAGGAGTAATGGCTTTAAGTTGAAACAACGTAGGTTTAGATTGGAAGAAATTCTTTCCTGTGAGGTTGGTGAGACACTGGCACAGGTTGCCCAGAGAAGCTGTGGGTGACCCATTCCTGGCAGGTGGGATGGGGCATTGAGCAACCTGGTCTAGTGGAAGGTGTCTCTGCCCATGGCAGGGAAGGGTTGGAAAATCTTTAAGGTCCCTTCCAATGCAAACCATTCTACGATTCTATGTTTCAGAGCAAGGTGGATTCAAGTTCTGTAACACAGCTGCCCACATCCATATTTCTGCTTTCAGAAGGTTCAAACATATTGATTATCATCATATACTTTTCCATTTACTTCAATTAAAATCCTTTTTTCTTTTTTTGCTTTCGTGTCCTAGTCAAATTAAGCCTTTATTAAAAAAACCTAAGGCAAAACAAAACAAAAAAGCACAAACAAATAAATTTCAGTATGAACATATCCTTGAACAAAAAGACTGTCAACCCAGAATGCATATTTAGTAAGCAACAACCCATGTCAGCATGATACCAGTGACAGTGTCAGACAGGGTCTCAACAGAATTATGTCTGAGGCACCAAACAGTGGAAGATTTTACGTGCACCAACCAAAGCCAGAAGAACTGCTGAGGAGCAGAGGAAGTCTTGCTCCCCAGGGAGAATCACTGTCCAGCAACAGCTACACAGTCCTGTGCTCGGCATGACAGCACAAATGAGGAGTATTGAATTGTTTGCAACCAAAACCTCCAGCTATCTTTTTTTCAGGAGCAGAACCAGAGGTAAGCATCTTTTTCTGAAAGCAAATTGTTGGGTATAGGAAATCAGAAATTGGTTTCACCAAAGTGAGTTCTAGCATCCTTGATATTAGAACTGTTTTTAAAATGTCATTTGAACAACATTTGACTCTGGAAAGATATTCAAAAAAGTACTTTCTTTTAAGTAAGTAGTCCCATGCTGATGTTTTCTTATCTATACATGTACAGTTTTATTCCAAAATCATTAAAGTAACAACATGTCCTTATTGTTGGTAAAACATCAAAGCCATTCCAATCTATTTAACTCATTCCAACTTAAAAAAACAAAACAAAACAAAAACCCAAAAAACAAAACAAATTAATAAATCAATCTTTCCACATTCTATTTCAGAACAAAATTTCTATTTGCTAATCAGCCAGTCTCTAGATGGAAGAATCTAGCTCCCTGAATCAAGGCTCTATGCCAGCTTTCCCATGTCCTTCTAAAAATAACACATAGGAAGAGATGCACCTCTTTGTGCACTCACATACACTCCCTGAGCAGCTCTGCCCCTTTCGGAATGTTGTCAAGGAGGTGAACATACACTGATAGAAATGACCTAGAGGGTGATACTTTACCTTTGTCTTCTTCCTGCTCAAAGTGAATGACGTAGGGTTAAGCGTACTCCTTGTCCCTGGAGACCCATCTGGGAAGGGTAGGAAGAGTCAGCACATCTGGACTGGGCTGCTCAGTGTCATACATTATGAGCAGCATCCCAAACACTGCTATTAGCTGCTACTCGTGATGGTAAACCACACACTTAGAGTCACTATAGTTCCAGTGGCCATGAGCAGAGCTGCTGGGGAGAAGCCTGGAACACACGTAAATAATTTTCTGCTCTTGCCAAAGAACCATCCTAAAGATTCTGGGCAACTGAAAGGCATTTCCACAGCCAGAGCTCCTGAAATCTTGAGGAAATTATGCCCCGGAGAAGAGGACTTGAATACTTGGTGGCCTTCATCGTCTTCAGTTTCCCTGAAGGTATTGTGCACTGTGTGATAGTGGGTTCAGAATGCATCATTTAGCATCATTAACAATGAATGAGACCCAAAAAGCTTGAACAGTGTTTACATCCAGGGCAACCTCCTGCTGACTTCAACTAACGCCATTTTCGTATTCAATTTCTCTGTGAACAGCAGTGTATTTGGGGACATTTGTTCTCTCTATTACTCTCAGAGACAGAAAATATGCCCCTGGGATATTAGTGTTTTGAGAATTAGTTTTAGGATCTTTCCAAAGTAAACAAGGAGAGTGTGCTGTGAGCCAGAAAAAAATGACCTGTCCCCTTTGGCCCCACATGACCTGATCTATGGGCTGTGGCTCTGGGAGCATCCTGCTGAGACTTTGCTATGACTCTGGAAGGTGATTCTGTTCTGCGCTCTGGGAATGAAAATTTGCTTCATGCTCATTTCATATCCCCATGACTGGGAACAGGAAGAGTTACTTTGGTGGAACACTTACTGCTCTGGGCAGGTGAAAGTGCACAAATCCTTTTTTAGCATAATGAACTCCTATTTCAAGCCTTTTCATATCCTCTGTAGCACAATCCCTTTACGTTCTACTTACATATGATCAGTTGTTTCTTACAGATAAGACATTTAAAAACATGTAACACAGCTTGGTATAGTGTCTCTTTTTTCTGCCAAGGCAAGCTAGCAAATCTGTTACACGCTCTCAGCTCCACTGTTGACTGTGCTTTGCACAAGACCCAAGTAGCTGAAGAATTAGATGCAACAGGTAGGGCTCCTTTGAAATTCCGCCATATATGGTGTCTTTCCTTAAGGGTACCTCAGTAGAGACCTTCACATTGCTGTCACAAGGCCCTGTTCCTCTAGGCATTTTCCTCAGGGTCCTGTAGGAGGAACATCCTACCACACACAGCTTTCAACCTAAAGGAAGTTTCTAAGAAGCAGACTGAGATCTACCATGGAAACACCTTACAGGTGATGTGTATTGCTGTTGTTCAAGGTCAAACAGAAGATCATGTGGAGAGGTGAGGAAATTAAGTAAACAAACTCAATTTGAAATAACAATATGGCTTTAATCATTCCCTTTCATATAGCTTCAAGACATTTGGAGCTTCAACACTTTTGGAAACAATAAATGCAGATATGACATTTGAGCCAAATTAACGTTTCTAACCAGTTGATTGCTGACAGTCATGCAATGTAAGCTTTGCTTCACTCTTTTAGGGAGAGACATCTTGCTGCATTGGCAGTCAAATTGCAGTAATTGTAACCTTATTATAAATAACTTCACATCTGGAAAAGTATTTGCAACAACTGATGTATGGACAGCATTCATCGTTTAAATGTATATGCATAAAACTTCATTCCTCCAACCAGCAACAGAATGTTTGCAATTACACAAGTCCATATGTAATAGCACTCTTGCCATTCAAATGACTTTAAAATGTCTTCACAGATTCACAGTACATACACAGTCTAGGTGTCATAATTTCATTGCCCATGTCCATTCTTGAAATGTGATTTATTTTTTATTTTTAACAAAATATCAATAGAAAAATACGGATAAGGGTTACAACATATAAATAAAAATTTTATAAAAATAGATATATTTTACATAACAATAGTACAATATGCCACTGTAACACCAAATCTACTGAATTTTATTTTGCTCTGCTACAACATCCAGTTATTCTGGATCAAAACAGAAGCATGGGCAAAACTCAAGGAATTTAGTATTATTTCAGAGTAACTTGGCACAGAAGTTAAAATACGTTTCAGGCTTTCAGAATATGGAAAAGAATTTTTCCTGGTCCTGGACTGACAGTGTAGCTCTGCTGTTTAGAGTCTGAAAAAGCTCTGTGGTACCACTACCCTGAGAGAAAAGTCCCCCCTTCTGCTAACTTGCCTTTTGTCTCTCATACAGAGGGCACAGCACTGCTGTGCTCAAGTTGCTACAGAGCAGAGACTCATCCAGTGCAGATCATGCCAGTTCAATCTTGTGCTATTTCTATGTACAGTAATGATGCATTGGCATGTTCTTGTTGAAAATCAGATTTTTAAAATTTATATCCAACCCCCCGAAATTCCCAGAATGTACTCATGCTGATACTGGTAATTACGTTCTTTATTCTAATGAGAGGAATCAATGAGAGTTTTAAGTTTTGACATTACACATTGTCCTTACACTCTCAACTAAGAGGACATCTGGGGGCAAACACAGTAGGCTCTCTCCTCTTGTGCATCAGAGGAGGTGCACGAGGTGAATCAGTATATTTCCTCTGAGTATGGGGAAAAAAAGGTAGATGAACATATGTATAACTACAGAGCTCCAGAGAAATTCTTTAATTCTTTTATAGACCTGTCTCCAGTTCAGTACCATCCTGATAAATACAAGAAACTTAAAAAGTTACTACAGCACTCATCTGGAATAAGGTGTGCAATTTTGGGGAGGAAAAAAAAAAGAAATTCACTGATACCAGGTGAAAAAGGTTACTTTGGGAAGTTCAGGAGAATGGAAAGCCTATCTTAAAAGTGGAGACTACAGGACTCGTCTTGTTTATCCTAGCAAACAAAGGCTGGGACAAGGCTCTCTTTGATCTGTGAAATGGGGCCAGATGAGAAGAATTGCTCCTTAAACAATTGTGTATCAGAGGCAAAAGAAGTGGAGTAAACTCATGTGGTCCCACCTATATGACTGTAA